CATGTTGCCGGACTGACTCCTAAAGGTGGTACAGAAGAGTGAAATAGAGACGGAGTGCCGCCACTACACTAAGTCTGATGGTACTTTTCAGTGTTCATAATTCCATCAATTTCAACAAGATTGGTGCTTTGTGAGTTACAAGTTACATCCAATATTTTTCTGGTCAAGTACAGAAAACCCACCTGGGTGATCTGGGTTTTCCTTTTTTCATTTGAAGAGCTTGATTGTGAAAGATTAAACTGCTAATGTCCACAGAAGTTTTAACTTTGGATGAAAAAAACAAACTATAAATAAACCAAATGATATTGACTCTACTGCACACGCACTTCAGTATGAGCATTCATTAATGAATGATAGTTTTTTTAAATGTTCGATAAGTACAGCTCTATGTCGTGGTCCTCCAGTCTTCTCTGGTGTTCTGTTTCATCCTCCTCGCCAGGGCGGTGTCTGGTTCCTGGTCCTCCACCAGTAAAGTATTTTTATATCATTATAATAATATTATAAATACTAATTTAATTAATAAAGTATTGCAAAGAGTACATTACAAACATTACCACTAAGTAGTTGCCGCCATTGTTGGAAAATTCTGGCATATATTGTGCCACGAAGGATACACTTGTTGGCCGCATAAATCGTGAGTAAGTACAAAACTTGTCAAAGCGTCTGTGATATTATGTTGCCAACATCTGCCACTGTGCTTTTCAGGTCATTAAAATTCTAGGAAGTAATGTGGTTTCGATGTGACACCGTAGCAGTAAAACAACTGCTCTTTCTGGGCATCCCGTGGCATAAAAGACACAACAAACCCAGGACAAAAAACAGTTTACAGTCTAAGAGAATCACATCTGTTTCCTCCTCAAACACAGGCTGGCTTATGTGATTGCTTATAAATATTTTTGTGAAGTCCTGGATGAGTCATTTATGTGCTCTTGAACTTATTTTTGCTCGGCCGTCCACTCCCGGGAAGGTTTAGCACTGTTCAAAGTGGATAGTGGCTCTCCCTGTGGTTTGCTGGACGTGCAGCCTTACAATTAGCTCTTAGAATTAACTCTTTTCATGCTGATAGCTGTCAGTGACTTTGTTTTTCATCTGTGTCTTTAAAACATGTTGTGTTGCTTTTTGGGATCTTTTAGCCTACTTTATTTTGTCAGAGCTTATTTTTAAGTGATTTTTTGATTCTGGAGGTATGGCAAGGGGTGGATGTGGCTACTGAAACTGAGCTCAGTTTTCCAAAAAAGGTGGCATGATTTAACAACAGAGGAAAATTACCTTTTCACATAGGTCTGCATAGGGTTGTTTGTATTTTAGCTGGCTCCTTTCAACACACAGGAGAAGTGGCTACACTCCAACATCCCTC